AGGGGTTGTTGTATTATGGCAAAAGAAGGAAAGATGATGATGACTCGGGGCAATGGCGAGGCAAGATGCACCCCTGACCGAGGCCGTGGCGCCGCGCTCTATGCCTTTTCCTTGAGATCCCAAGCCACCACGGTATACGCTGCTTCCCTATACTACTCGCAGTGGGGAGCCCGTAGAATGGCATTATGGGTAGAGACCTTCTCTCCTCCTCCTCCTCTTCCTCCTCATCCTCTTCTCGCCCTCTCTTCCCTATCACTCCTTCCTTTCCTCCCTCTCACTCTATCTCTCTCGTTCTCTCGTGCCCTCAGTCGATCCTAACCAACCAACTCCCCACCCCCCGTCCCACCCATTCTCCTGCCGCCCCGTAGCGGCACGGCATTGTCTGGCAGCCATATTGGAATAACAGCCAACCCCGTCGTGATTGGTCCGTTTTTTTTTCACGGCAGAGCCCATGCCTCGGCACGATACTCTCGCGAACGGGCCCCGTGGTTAGGCAATGCCTCGGTACGCGATAGTCTATCAGTCGACTCCATGCTGTGCCTGCATCGAAATCTTCATATTATTCATAAGATTACGATTCGTCGTTATGATTTACAACAATATATGCAATATTCGATGCGAAACATCGAATATCAACGATTTGTGATAATCAATCGTGTTGTTCAATTGTTCTTATCGTTTTATCATTACGACAAATCATTAGGATTGTTGGTGTATTTTTATTGTGATAGAAGAAGAAGAAGGCACGGATTAGTCGGATGTGACAGTAACATTGGCTGGAATACCTTGATCGATCTTGAAGAATCTTCAATGGACTCGAACATTTAATTTGATAATAAATGTTCAACATGCAGCAAGACATTTCTATGTGTTGTAATAATAACAGTCGTTCGATGGTAGAACTGTTTAAAAGTTGTGAGAATTCGTTTGAATATCGAGTATTAGTGAGATTAAATGGATTTTATTGATCGGTACATAAGTGACGTTTTAATGTTTTAAGAATTACGAAAATATACTCATTGTTATAAACAGTTAAATTAGTGTTATGTGTTTATTAATAAGAAAAATCAGTGTAGTCTATGTTGGGATTATTCTTCCATTGTTTCTGGATTAAATTCATCAAGGTATACATATATCTATATATATATATATGTATGTATATATAATAAGCATAAGCAATGTCATACTTGAAAGACAGAGAAACCAAGTGTGGTTAGTTAGAAACGCGTTTTACGGTCGGTCAAATGACGATTTATCACGATCACCGATCACACGATGAATGTCATTGAGAGCTCATCGTTCCTCGATTCGTATTATTATCTTGTACGATACTGTTAACCCTTTTACCGTTTCACACATACATATATACATATATATATATATATATATATATATATACTTTCAGTAGAAATAATCATTGACACATACTTATTTATTGAACTTAACATTGACACAAAGAATACACAAATATTTCAACATTTATTATTATTTCTCATAAAACGTCAAAGAAAACACAACGAATCTAATCATTCTTTATTTTTCTCCCCCACCTCCAACCCCATTGCAAATCAGGTGACATGAAATCTTTCCTATGTGTCAGTAAGTAAGATGTCAAAAAGATCAATTTCGTTTGTAGTTACAATCCTTCGTCGTCGTCGATCTTTTCATATTAAAGAATGAAAAGGATAAAAGATAGAAGAAGATTATAAGGAAGGTGTGAATAAGACAGAACAAGATATATCTATCAAGTATAGAGTAGGACAATCGTGCTAACGCATTTTAACGGAAGGATCAAAATCACGTTTATATATGTCGTGTGCAAGTAAATAGCAAACCCCAAAGGTATTAATTCTTTATTCCCTTTACCTTTAGGGAACGGGATGAAAGAGAACTATTACTGAACCTAAAACTTTCTTCGAATAACGGGCGAATTATTATTGAGTATTATAAGGGTAGAAATGAGAGTGTGTGTGTGTGAGAGAGAGAGAGAGAGAGAGGAGAAGGAAGAGTGTCCTTAACCAAAGGAAACGATCGTTAGGTATATGCGCGAAAAATGAAAAATGATCTTACGACATTGCCGTGGCCATGGTAAAGGACGAGTTCCCGCGAGTTCAAAGAAGCCGTAGAATATCGAAAAGATTCTACCAACTGGTACCATTAGATGCGCAGCTAAGATCTACGATCATTCTTCTTCCAACCTTTCTTTCTATTTTTTTTTTCTCTTTTTTCTTTTCTTTTTTTTCCAAATTTTATTTTATTTTATTTTTTTTTTTTTGTAATCTTTCCAACGGTTTTTACTTTTACTACGATTTTCGCAAAGTCTCATTTTTATTATTTTTAGTATTTTTTTTTTTTAATTCTTCGATTAACTCATTGCGACATAGAATTTTTAGATAATAAAATAGTTCTATGCAATAGTTGCATAGAAATTTGATTACAATTTAAATGAAACTAAATTAATATATATGTATTTATTAATAAAGGTATTACATAATGTAATAATGTAAAAACATAAAAAAAAGAGTTAATAATTAATCGTTTTGCTTAAATACGACGAAATATAAATTTATGAGCATGTGTAGCTATTGCAATAATATTTCAAGGTGGTACTAAAAATATCCCATCGTGCATTATGTTGTATCAAAAAGGTGGGACACTTTTAATTCCATCGTGTCTCTCAAAGAGTTAATTGATTTTTAATGAAAAGTGAAAAGCGTTAAAATATTTGTCGTTCGTTCTTCCATTCTTCCTCCTTTTCTTCCTATCGTTCATTTTTCATCGATGTTTCAATTTTCTCTTCACGTCAATTCATTATTGACATTTCTTAGATTGATTCGGTATCAATGGCCTTTGAAAAATTCTTTGAAAAAATCTGAGGAATGTACTTACGTGTAAAGAATAATGAGATGTTACTACGCATTGTTTTTTCTCAAATAACAAAAGCCCATTACTATATATAGTTGAGCTTGCATTTGATTCCGAAACAGTTGGCACCGCTTATTAATGTAATAATTATTCTTAAAAGGTACATCTCAAAAGTCTCAAATTACGCAACACTCTAACGAAAATTCTTTCTTTCACATCTTCCTTTCATCGTCTTCCACGTTGATCTTTGCTTTCTTAAAAAGGAAAGATCAACCCAAACAAGTTGTTCGATCAGGTTGCTCCCGAACAATTATTATTTTATGAGATTATTATCTTTAATAACAAACCCCAGACTGTCGAAGAAAAAGGAAAACTATTCGGACCCAAAAGATGAAAGATTTCAAGGATAAAATCCTTGGTGAGAATGTAATCTCTCGTCCATAGAATAAATAAACTTTTAATATTTATTATAATATACATATATTTTTTTTTTTTTTACTTCAATAACAATTTGAAATATTTCTTTTGAAATTTTGGTTGTGGATGTTCTTAACGATTAATTTGTCAGTACTTTTCCACCTTCCCATAACATTTCCCATTCATAAAAAAAAATATTGATGATTATTTTAGCAAATAATCGACCACCATCACCACTACTACCAACCAATCATCGTTCGTTCAATCATAAGAATAGAACATGGTAAAATACATCTGTTTTTCTAGGGATTATTTCAGGTCATTTCTCGGAGTGTATCGTAAGAACTTAGGTGGGAGTAAAATAGAAACGCGCGATTGGCTGTTGAGAATATTTCGGGGAAGGGTTGTATGTACCTTAAGGTGGATATTCAACATCCCTTAATAAGTTATATTTGTTGTCACCCTGAAGTACAGGACAAATCCATCTCACTGTAATTTTGTGCACTTCGAGTTGCAGTCAGTACCTGTCGATTCTACCAGTTGATTTTTGTAGTGGCTTGCGTTTAGAAACGAAACGATTCCGTTCGAGTTTAGTGGAAATTTTCTCTGTTCTTTTTTTTTTTTTTTTTTTTTTTCTTTATTTCATCGTCCATCCTGTCTCTCTTTTCTTCGTTTTTTTGTTCTTTTTTTATTTTAGGGAAAAGAGTATTTGTTCAGTGAATAATGTGTGTTTCATTATTCGTTCAGTGTTTTTTCCGTTTAGGAGCACGTGGTCTCTTAAACAAAATGAAAAGATAAGTGGTCGATTATAATAAGATTCTAACGTATAATAATATTATTATTATTTTTGATTATTTTTTGTTTCCATATTTCGATAGTTTATACCTTCACAAAATAACACATTACAATTTCAAATACATATCTGAAATAATTTTGGAGTTACAGTCGTCTGATATTATTTCTTAATTGAAACATTAAACGTGTTTTTCTCGAAATTACATTTGTCAAATTTACGTTAGTTGTAATTCGAAGACAAATCATTCGATTGATTCTGCATACTACAACCGAGGTTTATATTACCAGAAATTCCTTCTATTTTGATAAACTTGTTGAATTTATTTATTTTATACACTGTGAAGATCTCCATAACTGCAACAGTCAGTGAAGAGAAACATTGTTTTTTGGGGGCCTTGAAAGATTGCGAATAACACGCTTAATTTTCCATTTTTTGGTCCAAAAATTTATTCATATATTCATTACATATTCACGAATATCTTCTTAAAAATTCAAAACATACCATGCAGTAGTTCTCTTTTAAAAAAAATTCCGATTACTCATCTTTTTTTCAAGTGGTCACACTAGTGGTGCATCTTAAGGAAAATATATAACTTCAGTAGTTCGTATAAATAACAAAAGAAACCGTCTTAGTAGTAAATATAAAAATCAATGGAAATAATTACAGAAGTAATACATGTAAAAGATAAAACATTTATGCGCATTATTTGATAATTATTTTCCTATATTGAAGCGAAATATCAGTAGAAATATCATTCACAATTTGATTTGTATTACTGTGAAAAAAATTAGGTAAGAAAATCGTGGCGGAAAGTCACAATGATGATAATAAATAAATCAATCGATCKATCGATCGATGCATTGTTAATCGTCAAATTTGTTATCGATTATTTAACATTTTCAATTAATTCATTCGCTTACAGGAGAATACATTCTCAGTACCTGCAACCAGAACGGAAACAGCGAGGTCGAGGAGGACAATCAATTTCTCAGAGAACAATCGTTTGGCTTGAATCACCATCCCTTGGCTGGATTTCCCGATGATTCTTTAGGCCTTAATGAAACTTTGGGCCTTGAAAATGATTTCACATCGGAATTACTCAATGACAGTCTTTTAGGAGGGACCGTGGTCGAGGATTTGCTTGGTGGGAACGATCTTGGTCTACCCGACGGATTCAATCTCGAGGAAGCGCTTCAACTCGTTGGCCTCGATGAGGTTAATAAACCAGAGAACGAGGTATTTTTCAAATATTTTCAAACGTTTTTCTTTTTTTTTTTTTTTTTATGTCGCCCCATTTATCCTCTCGCATTTCCAAAAAGAAAAAAAACCCCCCCAAAAATACGATTGTCTTTATTCGTTCGCAATTTTACACGTCTTAATGATCGAGAAAATTCGTAATTCAATATTTAACGAAATAAAAAAAAAAGGAAAAACTTTGTGCAATTGATTTTACAAATGAAAAGAGAGAAAAGAAAAAAAGGAAGAAGCAGCATGTTGTAAAACGTTATTTACAAACTTTCTTGATCTTTTGATCGTGCACCATTTTGTTTGTTTTCCAATGAACTATAGGGGAAACGTGGGATCTCTCGTGATTTCACATCCAGCACCTATACCTGCTCCGGTCTCATAAACTCTATAAAAAAAAAAAAAAAATAAAAACAGACTCGCGTTATTTATTTATTTCATATATATATATACATATATAATTTATATCCCTACGATTATGATAAATCTCATGTGCTCGATGACAATGACAATTAACGAGCAACCGTTGTTCCGATTATATGAGACACGGAGGATTGTTCGCTAGGAAACGAATTACGAACTGAAGAAGGAAAAGGTGAAGCAAGAGATAAAGAAGGAAGAAGAATTGGTGGTGGTTGAAGAAAACGACGACGGTAAACGTGGAAGAAGAAGAAGAAGAAGAAGAGGAGGCGGCGGCGGCGGCGGAGGAGGAGGAGGAAGAGGAGAAAGTAATGGTGGAGACAAAGTAAGAGAAGTAGAAGAAAACGAAGACGAGGACGACAACAATATTTACGACAACAATTACGATTACGACTACGACTACGACGACAACGAGGACGAGGACCACGAGAACGACGAATACGAAGAAGAAGAAGAAGAAGTTGTCGGTGGTTCCAAGGAATTTACGAGCGCAAAGGGTGACGTTCCTGTCAACGTCTCGAGTAACGTCGTCGAGGTCGCAAAGTCATCCAGGTGCGAGGATCCCGAGACCGGCGACATGATTCATACACCGCAATTTCATCATCCCCATCATCCGCACCACCGTTCCTTTCAGGTAAGTCTTTGTTTTTTCTTTCTTTTTTTTTATCCTTCTTCGTTTTTTTCTTTCAGCTTAAAGGAGTGTCCTTCAGCTTCTTAATTTAAAACGTTAATAATTTTATATGGGTTCGTTAGAGTTACAGACAGTACATACGATATTAAGACATTGGCTTCCTAGGTACATCTGTTTTCGATAAAATTAGGGTTACAATTTTGTTAACATTTTTATATAGCATTTCTTTAAATCGTGTATCAACAGAATTTGTTAGCTCGACAAAATAATAAAATAAATAATAAAATAACTAATCAAATGAGAGACAAACAAGCCTAAATAAGGGAATTTCTTTGTAATATTTTATTACTATATTTTATAACCACTGGTAAATAGGAATGCTACCAAAATTGTAACCCTAACGAACCCATATAAAATTATGAACGTTTTAAAACAACAAGCTGCAAAACTCTCCTTGTTAATTTAATTTAACTATTAGATTTGAATGAACTCGCGATGAGTTCAAACATTCTAGGAAATTTCATTTTTCTTAACGTTTCAACGAAAAGAGACACGTATATATTATACAGAAATAAAAAAAGATTATAAAAAAAAAAAAAAAAAAAAAAAAAACATTAAAAAACGATAACAGGAAAATCCCATCGCGTGTTTTTTCGTAATAATAATTTCTTAATTAATTGCACTTCCTGGATCGGTCATTAGAAGATTAAATATCGTCGAGAAACTTGAGGAATGATTTTCAATCTAATGGGCCCGTTTATAGCGACGATTGTAATGAAAATCACGGTTTCATAATTAACCGGTGTGAAGGTATTTATATCGTTTTAAATGAAAAGCTTTGGTAAGAATGTGATGGTTACTACTAGAAAGTTAGGATGGGTGGGGATAGTAGTGTAGAAAAGGACGAAAAGATGCTAAATAAAAGGATTTTCTCATGGAAAATTCTTCGTAGAATTTCATCATTCTTATTTCTCTTATGTTAGGTTCATTTCATTTAGTTGTGTTTCCTTTTACCGTTTTGTTGTTATTCGAAAATCTTTAATGAGAGGTTGAGGATGATAGTCAGAATGATATTGCGCGCGTTGGTAAAGGCGGCAACAGAGAGAGACCAGACCAGACCCAGTGATATACGAAGTAGGAAACAGAAGACGAGGAAAAGATAAGAAGAGCCTAAGCTAGGCTCAGGTAAAGGCTACTAGCATAGAAGCACGCATAGTTAGAGCGGCGTTTACGGTCCATAAACGGGACACACACTTTATTTACAGCTTCGACCGCGAATGCACCGATGCACTTTTTCTCATGGCATCTCCCTCTAATATAAGCCGAACGACGCATAACCGACAATTACACGTCGTAACCGCATATTAATGTAACGAGTAAGTCTACTATGGGGGTTGCTATGTGTAACATAAGTTTGATTTTTGAACAATTAAAAAAGAAATAATATATACAAATGTAAATATGTATGTATATTCTATCTACGTAAAATCTTATTTATTCTATCTTTTTTCGAATGCGTGAAAACAAAAATAAAATTCTAATAATAATAATAATAATAAGAAGAAGAAGAAGAAGAAAAGGGAGGAGAAAAGTGTTCGAACGATCAACCCAAAAGAAAAGATCAGAAAAAAAAAAAAGTGTCTAGATATATATCTATAGTGAAAGAAGAAATCTGTATTAAGATCGTTAATTTTGTGTAAAGGTGGCCTTATATACCAAACTCTAATAGGATTTCTTTGAACGCCGACACCCTCCTCCTTTATCGGTCCGGTCTTCATCTTATTACAAGCACAAAGTGCTTTCGCGTGGATTTTAAGTGAGGCCAGTCCATTAACAACAACACGACTAGTTCGTGTTCCGCGTTCTTTTAGTGCGTAAACCGTATATAAATAAACCTAAGGTGGAAAACGGAAAATCGTGAGTTCTAGCACCTTACGAGGTGTAAGTTCGAATTGTTAAAAATTAGTCTGGCTTTTATCTTACCTAAAGTTGCTTCCTATCGAGTCCTACCGATCCGGTCCGTCTCTAACAACGACGTATATAGTATATACTATACGTTAATGGTCTTTAGCAGGACAACGATCCTGAATCGTCATTACCGGTTGCAGTTGCCTGCAACTGGTCCTAAGGTGGTAGTAATACTCCTTCCTATCATTTTCTATCTTCTTTTTTTTTTTACCTATTCCTACGTTACTACTTCAGGGTTATTGTCATACTCGATTACGCAACTTATTTTTATGGTCTTCTCAACTATCATGATTATTACTTATTATTATTCGGTTTGCCTAACGTTCCAACCGAGATATCGTGCAATTCGATGACTCGTCGCCAAAGTAACAAACTCCTCCTCCTCCACCTCCTCCTCCTTTTTATTTTCTCTACATTTACTTGATTCAGCATCTTTAAATGCGTGTTTTACTAAACACGCGATTTTGCGGTATCAATTCAACGTATCATCTCGCTCTTAACCCAGTCGGATTTCTCTCTCTCTCTTTCTCTATCGAGAATTTTTCTATTTAATACTCTAATCGTACTGTCGCAGATTAAACTCCTTGTTAAAACCATCGAACGGTAAACGAACCGGTGAAAACTAATACCGATTAATAACCCTTTTGTGTGTCCTTATTAGTATTGGTATTTAGTAATTAAGATTAATAACAATAAAATTCTTATCCGACGAATATTTAATAACGGTATTTTTTAGTAATAATCATTTATTTATTCTTTCGATTGAATTACCTTAATAACGTACGTTGAAAAAAAAAAGATAGAAAAGAAAAAAACTTAACAGATATTTCCGACACGTTAAAACAATTAATGCGTCGTTACGCTTTCACCGTGAACAACAGGCGGTACGAATTCTTCCTTTTAAAGTTATTATGGTTGGTCTATTCGTTTGTGTACGCTTGCGAGTAAGAAGACATAAAAAGAAAAAAACCATAAGATACCAATTTTATCGATAAAATGGAATTCGATGTAAATTTAAAGCAAACTGCTACTCGATCTAACGTTCCTTTTTTTACGACTTTAATCAGTTAAGTGCGTTCGACGTGTATACACACGTCGAAACAAAATCTCTACTGCGGTGCGTTTGACGTGTATACACGTCGTGTCAAATAAACAATAACCATTCATTATTAAAACTCGAAATTTCAATAAAATTCAAATAAGAATATTATTTGATGGTATTGTTCCCTTTTCTATTATGTTTTTATAATTTTATTTCGCACACAATTTACGAGAGTAATAATAATAGAAAAAGGTATAATTCAGTTGATTAGAATTTACAAAAAAAAAAAAAATAAGATAAAAACAGATGTGTGCAGATCACACATGGTAGAAGTGAAACCTTCAAAGAAAATCAAGCTTCGAAATAATTGAATTGTAATACAGTGCCATCTATTGAAAGAACCTTACAACACCTAGATAATCTCTAAAGAAAAATCTTTAAATTAGTAATAAAAAAAAATAAAAATGGTGCTATGTGCTAAGTTGATAAAAATCACGTGAAATAAAATCAATTTCATTTAAGATAAGTTGAGTAATTTCGGAATTATTAGTGGACAAACATATTGTTACAACGAATTTTTCTATATAGAATTAAATAATATAGAGAATTATATAGAAATTATATATAAAAAAACAGATGTGTACAGATCACACATGGTAGAAGTGAAACTTTCAAAGAAAACCAATCTTCGAGACGTGAATATTTCGAAATAATTGAATTATAATACAGTGCCATCTATTGAAAGAACCTTACATAAATAATTAAAATTGTACTATGTGTTAAGTTGGAAAAAATCACGTGAAATAAAATGAATTTCATTTAAAATAAATTGAGTAATTTCGGAATTATTAGTGGACAAACATATTGTGACACTGAATTTTGTATTCATTAATTAATTAATATATAGAATTAAATTATATATATTGAATTTAATTAATTAATTAATTATTGTTGATTCATCGATGGTTTCACGTTCTTCCGTTTCATGTTCTACCGTTTCATCACGATTTTCAAATCACCCTGATTCTAAAGAAATGTTCACTTCAAAACTAAGGAAAAGAATAAGAAAAAGATGAAAAAGAAGAAGAGGAAAACGATGATCGTGACAATGACCTACCGAGATAGCTTCTCGGCTTCGTTCCCGTCGAGATGATGTGACGCAACGGCGCTCACGGTAGTACGTGTGCGACCGCGTAGATTCGCATGCACGTGGAGAGAAAATATACTATAAAGTCTGAAAACGGGCGCCTATTGGAGAGGTGCTCTCTCTACCCCTACCATAATCTTCCTCAACGTCCGAGGTACGATCGCGATCTTGCGCGTTCGTTCCCGACAAGTCTCATCTAACACACACTCACGAACGGACACGCGTTTCTCGAAGTTGTACATACTCGCGCGCCGATTCTCTGATTTTTTTGGTTTTTTTTGTTCTTTTTTTTCTTTTCTTCTCTCTCTGTTATAAAAGAAATTAAGAAAACAAAAAAGGGAAGAAAAAAAAAAAACAAGAAAAATATCTCCACACATATTTTTGCATTTCTAAATATATTTGTCAAACAAATCCATTCTACGGTTATTTTTTTTAATTTTTGTTTTTTTTTTTTTTTCATTTATCATATTTATTTATTTATTTAATTTATTTATTTAATTTATTTATTTATTCGTGATATATTACGTATCGTTAGTGAAAAATTTCTTGTCTCTTACTTTTTCTTTTTCGTATTATTCATGATTTCTTTTTCTTTTCTTTTGTTTTTCGATTAATTTGTCGCAATTAATTTTATTGGAAACAAAAGAATATTTCTGTGATAATTCTTGGATCGTCTATCGCCCTCAAAAGGACCTTGGGATTACGTGAACATCGTCGAAGATCGTGTCAGCGTGCGATCAACTCGAGATGTAAGTGGCAAAGTGTAAGGTCTACCTACCTTGCGCAATGTAATCGTCTCTTTCTCGAAAACTACGCTTACTGTTGACGAACACTTCCTATTCTTGT